GTCTTAGGTCTTAGTTATTGAGATTCAGAGGAGGTCTTAGGTCTTAGTTACTGAGATTCATAGGAGGTCTTAGGTCTTAGTTACTGAGATTCAGAGGAGGTCTTAGGTCTTAGTTACTGAGATTCAGAAGGGGTCTTAGGTCTTAGTTATTGAGATTCAGAGGGGTCTTAGGTCCCAGTTGACCCAGTTTGGCCCCAGTTGAAGTCGATGCACCATAAAATAGTCACTCAATTTTTCTTTGGCACTTTGAAAAAAATAAGCACTTGAATAAAGACCACAAGCCCATAAGATTACTTACATTAATAAATGTATCAAAATTTAATATACAAACCTTGCTGCATTTTTTCCACAATCACAGCATGGAATTCGCTGCATGTTTTATTGTCTGGCTCCAGCAACAAAACTAAAGTTTGAGTCAAAAGCAAAACAAAATTATTAGTGAAAATGATGAATTTAATCATGTAACAGGAGATATAGTGCCATTTACTACTTTAGTTGTAAATGATTACTGCAGCAAGTCATAAATTGTTTTACGTGTAATAGAACTATCCTAAGATCAGCTACTAGATAAATGGTAGATGTTTTTTGCCTAAAATTTCACAGGAGATTCAAAGGAGGCATAAGTCCCGCACTTGTTGTTTGTTTATTACACTTCTACAGTGTTCATTTGCACTCCTTTTTTACATTGACAGTATTTTACTCACGCAAATAACTTCCTTAGAAGGATAAAATTGTGAGGTGCAGTGGCCTCATGGTTAGTGCGCTCATCTCTGGATTGAGCAATCCGGGTTGGAGCCCTGGCTGGGGACATTTTGTTGTTCCTCTCTCTGCCAAGGTGTAGAAATGGGTACTGGTGAATTAAATGATGGTGGGTAATGCTGTGATGGACTGGCATCCCATCCAGGGAGGAGTAAAAATACTCCTAGCAGCTTCATACTACAGAAACCGGGATAAAACTCCAGTGTGATAGGCCATTTGGCTCGTATGCAGACTTTACCTTTACCTAATTTTGAGAATAACCTTCAGGCATAATGATGGTATGATCCTAATATTTTTCAGCATAATTCTGCTCTATTGTAGTCCTGAAATTTAAACTGTATGCCTTATTTTCCCACCACCTGGAGGGTACAAAGTTGGCAATAGCGCAGACATTTTGGAAGCTGGATACAACAGACTCACAACCAGTGTGTTGTGGAATGGTTAACAGCCTACTTCATTAAGCCTGGTTTTTACAAGACTAGATGATTAGTAATTGTGCCTGACATTCCTTTTCTTTCTGGAAGTAATGATTTCTTAGATTTTTCAATAACAGGTCTGCAGTGTGTATTTGTGTGGGGTACTTTTATTCCATTCAGTTGGAGTGTGACTTGTAAATTTGACTATTTGAGAGTTAAAGTGCTACAAGTGAGTAGGCAATTTCTTGAAGGATAATGGTATAAGAATTGATTAATTATAATTTTTAGATTGCTGATATTAAACAAGTCCTTACAAGTTTTTAAGCAGAAATTATATTGACAGCAGAATACTTTGTTTTCAAATGTCAAATTAACTTGTGTAGGTAGTGCTAAGAAGGTTTCTTGGAATGACAAGGCCTGTTACATAATAAAGTCAGCAACTGGGAATTCAACAGTTTGTCCCAGATAGACAACTTGTCAATAGTGTTGAATTCCATGGAAGTTCTGATATAAGTTTTTGCAATGACTGTAAAGAAATAATGAAGTGTTGAATAACAGCAATCAATTTGCATGTACGATGTATGTTCTTTTGTTAAAATATTGCTGTTGGTGCAGTGAAAAGAAAACAATTGTGTTGATACATTCTGTATGCTTCTTATGCTAGATTGTTTTAAGGTTACATCTATGTGTTGATCAGTGGGTAGTAGTTTGTGGATAGAAGAGTGAATCCACGCTTGTTTCAGGATTCAATCTGAATCTTCAAGTGGCTGTCAGGTAAACAGTTCCACAAAGAGCTGTGTGATAGCTGAACTTCTCAAATAAAACATATTGATCAGGTGTTGATACAAAGTCAAAATGCTTGTATGACAAAAATTAAATTTCTAGTGCAGTGTTCCACCTCCCATTGCCCAGACTGCAGAGTACGAGTACAATGACTTGATAACACATGATAGTAGTTGAGTACAATCACTGACACTTGTTTGAACACTTTTTTTAATTCACATATCATCAATATCCCTAAATTATAAAATTACAGTGGATGATACTTCTGATAGCAAAAAGTGAAAAAAAATGTCAAAAAATGTTTAAACCAGCCAGGACAAACAAGGAGACATTCAGCTGAACGTATACAGGCTATGTCTTACCTCATATTTTCGATCTTTTAATACCATTTGGACCGTTGATAAAACTCTAAGATAATGGCTCCCACATGGCCATTATGGCAAGCGAACTAGCCAAGTAACGCAGCAAAATAGACCGGATATTGACCAGGACAAAGAAACAGACAATGTTATTAAGACAGAACAATAATAATATATGTTGAACTATTACATAAATATTTTGGCTCAGTTGTTTATAAATTAATTTCACGAACAGTATGTCTTTGCTGCCTGTGCATACATAAGCATCTTATGACTTGGAAGGAGTTCAATGTTACAAATAACGCTAATACATTCAGACCTTTCGGATTTTGTAATGTTGGTAACTTTGACATTATTCCTTGTATATATAGACACTCCTCCCTTCTGTAACTTGTCATTATCAAACCAATATCTGTCCTGTCTATAGATACCATCGATCCCGGACATCTTAGCAAATGAACATTTTTTCAGGCCGTTGCAGGAACCGTTGGTTTCATTCCTGGATTAAAAAAAGTGATCATGCAAGGCCGTCAGGGAAGGTGCTTTACAGTTTGTTTGCAATTTTGTTGAGTTTTGAACTTTCTAGCAAGATGCTATTCAAGATATGCCACAGAAAAGAGTTTGAACGATGCAAAATCCACTGCAAGGACAAGATTTGCCTCAAAGTTGATGCTTTTGAGGGATTTGCAAACTGTAGCCAAGAGATGTTTGTCATCACATAATCCATTTTTTTTAATCCGTGGCTAAAACCAACGGTGCGTGCAATGGCCTGAAAAAAAAAGCAATTTCAAAAGACGTCTGGGATCAATAGTATTGCACTTTGAAATGGTAACAACCGAATCTTGAACTTCATGCTCAAGATGAGTTTCAGACATGATACATGTGTCTATATCAGCTGCATATAAATCTGCCCCAAGTGCGACTGATGCTGTAACTACACTCTTGGTAACATGTTGACACAAAATATGTTAACACTGCATATGTTGAGACAAAATGTAACTTCTGACAATTGAGGGATGAATTAGTCAGAAATTAATGTCCTTGGAGACTCAGGGGCAGTTAGTGGGGGCTAGAGAAAGTCAGAGGCAAGGTAAGGTGGTAAAGTCTGCATCAGACCAGTGGAGTTTATCCTCCTTTCTGGTGTTTGAAGTGACTGGGAGTATTTCTACTCCACCACTGGATGGGATGCTAGTCCACTGCAGGGTTACACTCATAGCATTTAAATTTGCTGTTACCCATTTAGAGGCACTACGAAAATTATTAGTGCCTTGCCCAAAAACAAGACACAATGACCCTGGCCAGGGCTCAAACACAGACTGCTTGATCCAGAAAATAGTGTGCTTTCATGTATCACCTAGTGGGGCTTATCACCAGAATTTTAAAGTATTGCCTTCTCAAAAGACTTTTTTGCTTGAGACTTTACTTGTGGGGTTGGTTCTTTTACTTGTTGGTATCAACTAGTACAGCTGTATGATGTAATTAACCTCCTTAGGGAGAAAAGCGGAGAATATTAACATGGCTTCTGGGTAAAATCCTTCACTATTCACCTTCAGTGCTAGGAAACCTCACCATGAACTAGACATGCAGTACCATGAAACAGGTCTATTCATCAGCATCCAGTTACACACAGGTGGGTAATCACCATGAAGAGTGTTACTGATTGAGACACTTATCACAAAACATACAAGTCAACCTCCTTGTTAAAAGGCCACTAGCTGCACAGCTAGATATCTTGTACGAATAGCATTGATATGTAAGCTAAGCTAACATGTAAATGTCTTTTGCTTAGCAAAACAACACTTGAAGAGTGGCTGTTTGTGGTGCAAGAGGAAAGAAACATAACTCATTGCCTACTTTGGTGGCAGATTTCCTTGGCCTTTCCATAGTTTTCATCCATGACAGCCATAAGAAACTATAGTGAAAAATGAAAGAAAGAGTTGTTTAGTTGAGAACTTTGATCTCATTGCTTTAATTTCCCTTTGATTTGACAATCACTTCCCATCATAACTTATAAATATTCAGCTAACAGTTTTTTTGAGAAAAACTTGAGGCTTACACCAACAACAATGCCCTTGATATTTCTCAATAACTGACAGACTATCGATGTCATTTTTCCTATCATATAAAAAAACTGCACATCTGCATGCGAGACAAGGGGCCCATCAGGCTGGAGCTTATCCCGGTTTCTGTAGCATGAAGGACTAGAAATATTTCTACTCCCCCCTGGATGGGATGCTAGTTCATCGCAGGGTTACCCCCAGCATTACATTTGTCAGTACCCATTTGTAAACCTGGGTGGAGAAAGGCATTGTGATAGTAAAGTGTCTTGTCTAAAAACACAACACAATCTCCCCAGCCAGGGCTCAAACCCAAACCACTTGATCTGGAGTCGAGTGCACTAACCATGAGGCTACTGCACCCTCCATAATGATCTAAGACAAGTGTAAAAAGTTGAAAAAGAGCTAGGATGTCTCCCGAGTCATATAAGCAAGCGACATAATGAAAATGACACATGACATAACGACATAATTGCTTATGTCGGTAATGTGAACATCAACATAAAGATATAACAAGAATATCAGTCTTTTTCCTTTTGCTTTAAGGTCGCTATTGTGAACTACAATGTACTGAGGCTTTACAGTTGACACACTTTTAGATGGTCTCTTGTATAAACAAATTTTTCATCTAGTCTTCACTCCCTGACAGTTGACCACTCTAACATTACTTGATTGTTTTAGTGCATCTCATAAATGACTTAACTTTTTTCCGAGTCTCTCATTCACTCACAGTTGTGGTTTTTCATGCCTCTTTTTTGTAAACAAATTGTCTATCAAGTCTCTTGCTTGCTCTTAAATGATAAGTTTCTGGCTTTCTATCTCACATGCAAACATTAATTTTCCATGTTTTGTTGAATTGCTTTTTAAGTGTCATTGTCAGAGAAAACCAGGAAGGACCAAAAGATCGAGGACGGTCATTTACCTTCATCTTTTCACAGTATAAAAGCTACCCGAAAGGATTAACAACCATGACATTTGCCAAGGTAGGCATTCGTTTTTCATCAAGATATCACCACATCATGATTTTGGCTTCTCAAGCGCTCTAAAATGGCCGAAATTTTGGGCAACTTTAGGTGAGCCTACAAGATACTTTGTACATATTCCAGAAACTCTTATTTTTGCGCAATAGCACTTGTCCCCTTATCAGTTGACTGAGATGTATTTGAGATCTTATGCTTTAATTCTACGGTTTTTATGAGGTGCCAAATATTGCTGCTGAATCGTTAATGATCGTGACCCAAATTGTAGCCATTTTCAGCTGGTTGTTTTTCAACAGTGTGGCAGTTTATTTCTACAGAAAAACATTTCTGTGATAGTCTTTTACAGTTATCAATACCCAGTTTAGTTGAAAATGGTATCTACAGATAAATTGGAGTAATTGGTCTCATAAAGTAAAAAAAATTCATTGGTCAGAAACATTTCTCGCCAAATGCTTAGCAAAGAATATCACCTTATTGTGACTTCCTGTGATTGTTATCCATGATTTACTAAAAGATCTGCAAAAAATACATTAGCTGGAGCACAGAATAGAAAATTTAAGTTGTGATATCATTATTAACCTTTAAGAAAGAGCCCTAAGAAAATAGGCGCAGTCTGATTGGTTAAAAACTGTGTTTTTTGTACTAACCTGCCACGATACAAATGGCAACATTAACTACAAGAAAGATTTCCACTGGCAATCATGGCCTAGCAACTATTACAAGTATTGAGATGTTTATTCCAGTCATCTGTCCATTATGATCCTTTTGTGAATTGGATAGTAGGGAAGTTTTGTTGTAACCTGCATTTCCTCACTGTTTACATGTACATTCGGCTGTGCCAAATAGACACCAACTCTGACATCTTTCCTCAACCATCTCGTTTGCACACTGATAATTGACTCACAACCCTCACTGCTAGGTGATTTTTCTGATCCAAAAGAACAGTTAATGTTTTCAAAACCAAGGAGAAACCATTAAGTAAGATCAACATTGTGAAGTCCTGTTGTCTGACCTTTGAATCTGTAACGTATCACACCTTCCAAAAATGAGAAATAGATGTAAACAAGGGGCTTGCAGAAGTCCTAAAATTAAATTTGGGGTAAAGCTACGCTCACTATTAACTTGCAGTTTGTTCTACTCAACAACAAAAAAGACCAGCAAACTGAAGATCCACTTTGTTTTTTGTAGCGTGATGTTGAAAATAGAATTTTCACGGGAAACTTTAGCCTAGATAATGGTAAGGATTTGGTGAGTTTGAAATGTTTACAAAGGTTAATAACCATGTCACAGCTTAAATAGTCTATTCTGCACTCCAGCCAACTATTTTTTGCAGATCTTTCAGTAAATCATGGATAACAAGAAGAAATTTAATTGCACTAGCTACCGTCTACTTAGCACTACCGTCGGAATGTAGTGCACATTTCAAAGTAGTCATTGATGATTCTTTTCTTACTGTAGACATCACATCACTTGATCAACACANGCATAGTTCTGATATTACGTTTTTGGTACATCCCAAACATACATTTAAGGTTTGAATTTCCTACTCTAGACAATAGAATTTACATTGCAAATGATAAAATTGGCATGTAAAAAATGGTAATGATTTCATCAGTGCCTATTGCTGGTAATTGAAGATAATGCTCAAGTGACTATCACGTGACATAATTTAAAAGCACTCAAAAGCACTGGTTAATTTGTTGTTGTATTAAAAAAAGCAAGATACTAGGCATAGTAGTCCCAGAAGGCCAAACTAATCAGTATTTTGCATCAGCCTCGTTTCCATGTAAGGGCCTTGTATGCTGTATTTTTGACATGCGCGTTCCATGGTTCTGGAAGCAAATTTGGCATGGCTCCATATCAGGAAATGTTTGTCTTATGGAGCTTAGCAGCCCTGCCAAGTTTGATGCTTTTATAAAAAAAACGAACAATTTTGTCCCTTAACAGCTGGACTATCACTGGAATCCAGGTGAAAAAAGACAGCGGCTCAATGGTGTGACATCCTCGTGTTGTTCGTGGCGCAGTGCACTCTGGTAAAAAGTTGCGAAGTGCACTCTGGTTAAATGTAATGCACTCTTGTAAAAAGTGATGAATTCAAGAACTCGTAGCCCCTTCTATATATTCTTCTTAAATCCTGATTATGTTGCTGCTTGCTCCGCAGCAAAAAATTGCTGACTTTGATGGTAGGTCAATCGGATGAGCAATCCTGTCCAACAAAAGTCTTTGCTGCAGCTCTGAACTTGTAATGCTGGCTTTGCAGAGTTTTTCATTTTTTAAATAATTATTCCACTACATCTCCCCCAAGTTTTGATCAAGATTGCGTTTCTCTCATTTTGGGCATAGACGAGTTGTTGAGATCATAGTCCCTCAAAACATTTCGCACAAAGTGTCAACAACTTTTTACTTCACTTGTGATCAACAGTGGACTTGTGCCATCCTGGTGAAGGTCTAAAATATGCTTTCGTAACAGTTTGGAAAGTCGACGACCATTATCATATATGCCCCCACTTGATTCAATCTCAATTTAATGCTTTGGGCAAAAGCCATTGTGGAAAAACTGTGAAGATCTTATAATTTACCGAAACCACTTGAAATGTTGAAAAGTCGAAAAAAGTTTCAAAAATAGGATCGAAACAAACCAATCAAAAAGTGAGCAAGTTTCCGAGGAGGTCTGCAACCAGGGCTCGAGACTAAATTTTCAGCTTGCTAGCCCAGTGGCTAGTGACTGGTTTGATTCACTAGCCAAAACAAATTTTTCACTAGCCAGACATAGACATTTGCAAGCATAGGCATCAATGTTATAATTATAAGCGTTGCTCAACAATTACAGTGTAGGCTCGATTTAAGCCGCTCTCTCAACAACGAAAACCAAAGTTTTCGCTTCTGTGAGACGGTGGGTCTAAAACACAGGTCACGGGTCATTGTTTTACCAATACTGGAACAACCCTAACCCCTTCCTAATGCTAACCTTAGGCCTATATACTACACTAAGACAATGTTTAGGCTTAAGGTTAGTGTTAGTAAAGGTTTAAGGTTGTTTCAGTGTTGGTAAAAACAATAATAACCTGTGACCCGTGACTTGTGTTTTAGACCCGCCATCCATGAGAAATTCTCACAGAACTTCGCAACTCACCGCCAAAGAACATTCCTTTCTTTCAAAATGCCGATTCACGATTTCTCATGAACACAACAATCCGTTCCATCTTAACTTTATGTACAAGTTGCAAACATAGGCATCGATATTATATAGGCATCATTCAAATTTTTGAAAAACTGTGAATTTTTTAATTTTTTGAAAGCATATGTGACCTCCAGATGCTACATGCATGAAACATGATCCCTAGAGTTCCGTATGATTTCACGCATGACTAATCATTAGCCGCAAGCAGTTCGTTTGTCGTTCATCGCTTTTTACAAACAAACAAACAAACAAAAAAATCATTCTTTCGCATTATACTAATTTAAAGTCGTTGTTTGGGCCAATACATGATATTTGTTACAGCCGATGTTTTAAATTCTGCATGCTTCGACTCAATTTCCTTTTGTGAAAAATCTGAAATTAACTTTTAATTAGTTTCCTCTGGGCCTCCAGTGCTCACAAATTTTCAGTTTCACTAGCCAAAATGGCTAGTGAAGCACAAAAACCACCAGCCAAAATGGAATTTTTACTAGTCTGTGGCTATTTGGCTACCATTAGTGTTGAACCCTGTCCTATGCAACTTTGTTGGGTTTCAGATTTTTGTTGTTAAACCATTGTTTGCATTCTTGAGTTTCATTGGCCCATTTACAGAAATATTAGCCATCCTTTGTTCTCAATTAATTCTCTGATTGGTTAACTTTGTTCCGAGTGGCCCGGTTCAAGTGGTTGCACTGTAACAAACTTTCTCGTTGCACTCTTTCCCTTACAGTCTGCATTACAGTCACTGAAAACATGTTCGAATACTAGTGAAATTTCATGAGGAATGAAAGGTTGGTCAAACTTTTGAATGAATTTTGGAAAATTGAAGTGACTCGCCAAGACCTAAAGCTAAATGTTGAATGAAATTTTGCAAGGTACATGTACCATTAGCCTGAGAAGCAGGTGTTCAAGGTTGGAGGAGGGGGACTGGGAGAAAGGAAGAACATGTCCCTTTCCCTTCTCCCTCACATTTTCTTATCCCCCTACCCTTTCCCTGTAATACTCCTCCAAAGCAGGCTAATTTACCATGTACTTTTGTTGTACAGTTTTATGAAGCCAAGGGAAATTTTCGTGAATTTTAACAGTAACAGAAACACTCGGCTTCTGAAATTTCATTATTTGGATTGAAAAGTCTGAAATTCTGGAATTTTGTTTGCAAAATTTTAGATTTAAATGGTGCTGTATAGCAATGGAGCATTTGAACTTTCCTTCAACATGGCCACATGAACAATAAAATAGGAAAGGCCAAGTTGAAGAAACTATCAGAAAGGAAACGTGCAGGTTTTAGAGAAGAAAAAGATTATATAATTTCTGCTAAACCATTGTTTGATTCTTGCAAGATACCAAATCTATTACTGAAACTTAGAACATCTATATTCTATCAGAGAATATTATGCAACAACTGAAGTGTAATTTAGAAATTTTAAAGTTCCTATTGCACTGAAAAGGACACATCTAAAAGCTCCATGCACTTTAATTACCAGCTTCGATCTGTAATTTTCTCCAGGATAAAATAATGATCAAATTTGATAACTGCTGTTATTTGGTTTTGTGCAGAAACTGTTCACACTGCCTGTCTTACGATCAGGCAGATTCAAAATGAAATGTTAAGGCATGCCAAGTTTTAGGAACAGGGAAAATTTTAGTGGGGTAAAACAAACATTATTATAGCTATTTTAGCTGCCCAAACATTATTCCTCTTTGCATTCCTGACCAAGGCCTTAAACTGCTTGACTATTGAAGGTAAACAGCACTACTCATCTAGGAGTAAATAGCCTACATCGGTGAAAGAGCTCCCGTAATTAACTATGCCAAAAGTGTATTCTGCAGTAATGTAATCATGCATTCTAATGGCAGTTTATCAACAGCTTCATGTCTGCACTAGTGGTGCAGTATTAGCATGCATTGTGTACCTCTCCTTTCAGTTCAACAGGAGCCTCTTGAACTTTATCACTTGGATCACTTGGCCCACACTTGTCCTTATCACTGTCTGATGACAACTCAATGTCGGTCTTTGTAGGGCTTTCCATTTCTTGACCTTGGTTAGTAAGTTTTAATCTCCCGAGATTTGAAATGATAGAATCATCTGTAAAACCAAACGTCAAAAAATTATAGTCACACGTAATCAACAGTTCCACGCTAACTAATAAAAATAATTTAAAAAATTGAAACATGTAAGGTACATGACTAAGTTAAAACCATTACTACCAGAGAAGTGCTATAATGAAACATAAACAAATACATATCTGTACAATTTACAAATAATTTTTTAACTAATAATTATCTCATTTCTATTCTTGTAATGAACACCTGCTGTGACAAAGAGCTTCTTGACTTCTGGCATGTGTGTTCAGGCAGGTTCAAAGGGGGTCATCACCAAGAAATAAGACATTAGGGGGTGTACAGGATCTTCTCTTCTTACTTTCTTTTTAGGGTTATTTTGTCATAAATTAGTAAAAAATTCCCAGCCTACCTCCTCCAATTATAAGTAACCAAAGTATGTCAGTGATATGAGCTACTTTTGCAAAATATAGAATTACTCTAATGTTTTAGGTCTGTTTTTTTACTACGACATAAGCACAAGAACAGGCATAATGGCAATGATGTTGCCCATAACACAAGCAAAAGCATGTACGCATGAGCACAATGGATAATTGCCTTATTTTCGGTTCCATACCTCCTCGGTAACATGAAACAAGATGGCAGACTTAAACTTGTGCTTAGCTTATGCTAACAGCAGTGCATTTCCAATTGACATTAACATAAGCACAAGCAAGAAAAGAACAAAAACACTTGTTCTGCTTGCACTTGTATGTCACACTACCACAGCTGAGAGTCATGACTCCTCTGGCTTCCAAGGTTGACCGTTGGGTCAATCAATTTGGCTTACTCCACTCCAAGGAAAGAGACACCAATAGGGGACTTTCATTCACGAAATGCTGATTTACAGTCACCTTCTGGACAACCTTCAGGTAAGTTGAAATCTGGCCCAGAAGCTAAACGTCTAAGCTCAGTTCTGTGCCCACAGCTTTCAACACAAAATATTAATTTTTTTCCGTCTTACCTGCCCTCGACGTGAGATTGATTACAAGGATCTTAAAATAGCCAAGTTTGTGCCTGGCTATACTCAAATTTTATACTGGGGAGAGAAAATCAGCAACAGGGAACTTTGGGCAAGAACAGAACAAGAATGTATTCCAGCAGAGATCACCAGGTGCAAATCAAATTGGATTGGCCACACATTACGGAAACCAACATCTGATACAACCAGACAGGCCCTTGAATGGAATCTGCAGGGTAAAAGGAAGGTAGGAAGACGAGTGAAAACCTGGAAGAGGTCAGTGGAAGAGGAGCTCAAAGAACCCAACATCACCTGGACTACAGCAAAAAGAACAGCCGCGAACAGAGTCCACTTGCACAGCATTGTAACCGCCCTTTGTTCCACCAGGATGTGTAATGGCCTAACTAACTAATACTCAAATTTTGCAGTCACCGATGAACAAGAACTAATCTAATTATAGAATTGTCACAGAGCAGCACGTTCTGTTACCACCTTGTTACCACAAGTGAGAAACATTTCAACGAGAAGTACTGAAAGCAGACAGCGCTACTTGATTGAGATTAAATCCTTTATCAGTGAAAGAGTCCCCTCAAAGACTAATTAAATTAATTTACATAATGTACACTTTCAGTAAGTGCCTCAGTGTCTGCAGCAATATTTGAGCAGTTTCCTGTTTTTTTTTGTACAAATTTTGACAAGTTTTAATGCCACTTACTTGTGAAAATTTCGCCTGCGGATATGAACTTTTTGGTCTCTTTGATAGAGAAGATTAAAGGATGAAATAAATGCACTAGTGTATTTTGAAAACAATAGATAATATTTCTCTTACCACAAGGAAAAGCATTCAACATTAGTGTGTGATCTTGCTTGAAATGTATCTTCCACCTAATATGTAGTTGACACTTATGCTTATTTTAATCTGCACATGCATTTAGAGCAAATATTGGTTTTGTTCTAAAAAGAAAAGTACCACAAGGAGAGCAAGGGGCTTTCTGAAACAAATGTAGAGCTTTGTGGAATAATCAAAGAAGTAATGTAGGTGCAACACGTTTTGCACAGTGCTCACAAGTATCTACCCCATCCCACCCCCTTGCTGCAAGGCTAATTAATTAATATATTTTACAAACATTTACGTTAACTTTACACCTTGTTGCCTTAGGTTTTATTACCTTGGTGGCTTATTGCCTTATTGGCTTATTGGCATATTGGCATAACGCTCTAGTGGACATCAACCCCAAACCATCCCAATAGTGCACTCTGCACTAATAATGTGGCACAGAATTGTAGACTAGTGAGACAATCTCAGATAGTGCAGAGTACAATGTATAGCACCTACACAGTACTATATAACACAGTTCCTATATAACTCCCACTGTCAACTCCTAGTTTGTATTGACCTTGCTAGTTAAATAATACATTGAGGCAGCGAACATGACAATATTACATTTCATGCCAATGTTTGTAACATGAAACTCTTGCTTTCTCAAAAACACATGGAAGATGTGCTTGTATAGTACTTGTACAGTACTTGTACAGTACTTCTAAAGTTCAATTCAACGGGAGTCTTGATGAAAAACATTGTGGAATAGCAATGGGGCCACTCATGGTGAACTCATTTGTGTTCTACTGAGGAGAAACTAGACAGCAAGGATACGTTACCTTATCATATGACCCGTACAGCCCTGTGCACAATTTCCTTGGAAAGTCATAAGTGAAAAGGTCCCGTATGTGGGCAGTATGCGTTGAAGTGATAGGGCCGGAAAAACATGTATGGCCCTACTACAAATGCATACGACCCTACTAGAAATGCATGAGACAAAATCGTGGCGAGTTAATGACAAAAACAATTTTGTTGCTGCAAAAATTTGTTCTCTGCAAAGTGAATGGTGAAAGAGCACATTCTGGGAGTGAATTTTACTATCCAGGTGAACCGTCCGATGCAGAACTATGTATACTCCAGTCGCCAACTCACTCCGAAAGCAAAGAAAGAAAGTCAACACTCCTCACAAATAAAAAGGTTCACAACTTTCTCAGAAGCCAACAACAAGCAAACAGGCGGTCAAGAAAACAACTTGTCCACATGGACTGTCCAATTATTAACCTTGGAAATAAGCAAACAGACTCTTGAGGCAAAACTTCTTTCATCAAATAATTAATCATGGGTCAAAAGCAAGAAAACCGGCAACGCGAAGAAAACAAAGTACTATCTAAATGTTTTCTTCGAATTTCCAGAGTTCCTCGGAGAAGTTGGTTAAACTGGAGAAATCACAAACATACCTTGTGTACAGTAGGATAAACTGCTCTGCAGTTTCTACATCAGTGTTGTTTGAAGAGACAAAACTGAGTTCATTACTGTACATTTCATTGTTCATTACACGAGTTCATTACCGTACAGTTCATCCAGATAATAAAACTTGTTTGTGTTTTAATGGTGTAAGTTCCACTCCACAGCAAAGCCAGCAAAGTCAGCAGCCCAGACACTGTTTGCGGGAGCCAACATCAGTGTCATTAATATTCAGCTGCTGGTTCTCCCTTGTTCAAGAGAATCCAAGAGGTCAACAAATAGCTTGAAACGACGCCCACACTTTCTTGAGTTTTCAGATGAAGAAGATTTTCTGAACAATTTCAGTTAAGCTTGAAGCGAACTTTTGTCACTCGCTAAGTTTTTGATGGCTTTGACATATTTTTAACAGCTTAATGGCAACTTTCTGTTGGCCTTTAATCATGAATTGTAATTGTGGACTTACATTGAAAAACAAAAATGAGAAAATGAGTCATGTTTTTCTATGAATTGTGAGTTTCTTATTCGACATGAAAAAATAAATGGCAAGTTTTTATTGTAGAATTTTTTCTGCAGTTGTTCTGCACGTGGTTGTCTGATGTTATGTAATCGCGTTCTATTTAGGTTCAAACAGAATTTTCAAAATTTTCAACACTAAGTGGTCATATGATAAAATGCATATTGACTGAGTAAGATCGACCCGGAGGGGAAAATATTTGGCTCTCGGTCAGGACGTGTGGACCGAGCACAGCTCGGTCCGTATGTCCTGACCTCGAGCCAAATATTTTCCCGTCCGGCCCTCCCACTCAGTCAATAAGTACATAATCTTCTTATAAGTGATGCATGGATGACACCATAGCCACAGTAAAAGATATTCCACTGCTATGGCTTTCCTGACAACATTAAACGAAGCATGCCCAGCAGTCACCTTCATGATGGAAGTTGCAAACAACAAACTACTTTCATCATAATGGAGCTCATAAAGATTGGAAAACAAATGAAAACATGTGACTACAGGAAAACAACAAATAAGGGCCTACTTCTCTACTATCAAAGTCATGTTGATGCCCGTTACAAACAATCTCTTCTAATGGCTGTGTTAAACCGTGCCCACTGTCTCTCATCCTAACCAGACCTATTGTTGAGAGGGATCTTCTGAAAACTGAAGTTGTTTTCACAAGCAAGAAAATTGCCGACTACATCAAAGTAGCAGAGGCCAAACCACGGTTAATAAATCAACAACGCATTGTCTACAAATTCAAATGTTATTTGTGTGATGCGGATTATGTTGGCTATACTCTCTGACACCTTTTTCAATGCATTGCTGAACACAAGCACTCAGCTATTGGAAAACACCTGCGTGACACCCACAGTCAGATGAACAAAGACCTACAAGGACAATTTACCATCCTTAAGAAACATAGAGGGAAACTTGAAGGCTTAATTTTTGAAATGCTCTTTATCCAAGAAAAGAAACCTAAACAGAACATTCAATCTGACTCAATAAAAGCAAAACTATTTAGTACTTCATTAACACTCTCTAAAATTCACATTGCAGAGTGTTTAATCACAAGAAACATGACTTTCACATGCATCCTTAGTATATAAAGAACTCATAGGAATCTGACTTAGAATTTGAAAATGATAAATGAGTCATTAAAACGTCATTTGAAATTATTATTGCTGATTTTTATTCTTAATTTATAATAATTATGTCAACTGCCACATTAGCAAAAAGTATTGT